CCTTGGTGGCTACCTCATGAAGGGGATCTTCAATCAAGGCAGTAGTTGAAGCAGTCATTTTCCTTCTCTTTCCTATTGCTTGGGCAATTGTCTCAGAATCAGAATCCTCATCAAACTTGGAAGGGGAGATATCAAACTCAGAAGAAGAGACAGTAATCTTTCTTCTCTTTTTTCTTTGAATTGGCATTGTCTGCTCCTCAATTGTTTTCTCAGCTCCTTCAGCCTGAGGTTCGGATTCCTTAAAAATAACCTCCTCCTCTACTTCCCTAGTGGTTGTCTCTTTTTGGGACAAATCAATCGCCATTTTCCTCCTCATCAAGGGTGACTCATGCTCTTGATTTTTTGCATCTTCTTTTTCTTCTTCTTGCACCTCAATTGTTTTCTTCTCATGCTCAAGCAGTCTTTGCTTCTTTTGTTTCTGATCACCTTCAACCAAATAAACTTCCATATTACTCACCCACCAACTCTGATATCTCTTCAAAAAGGTGCCTTGAGGAATGAAAGGGATGTACTCAAAAGTGGTCAGATCATCCATAAACTTGAAGGTTGCCTCTTCTAGCCTTGACTTTCGAACCTTCAAATCTCTCTTGGTCAGAGTTAGGTTGGTGTTGCTGCAGAGAGGTATTGGAACTCCTTGTGTGAGGCCAAATTGTCTAGCAAATTGAGCAGGACAATAAGGCTCAGCTATGCATTTATAGGCTCTGGGGTTGGTGGTCCCAATAAACAGTTCTCTAGGGATCAGTAGGGAAGCCCACATATCTTTATGAATAGGCAAAGCACAGAGCCTGTCACTGAGGAAGTGATTCAACCAGGTTGGACCTATGCTAGCTTCGAAGGGACGGAAACGGTGATCAGGAAGAGCAGCTGGTAGTTGATGAAAGAAGGAGAAATAAAAGGCAAAAGTAGCTGGATAAAGTGAAGCATTGGCTAGTTTTATGCCATGAGTAAGAGAGTGTAGCCCAGAAAATTTAAGGCATTTAGATTGTAGTTCAGTAAAATAGGCAAAGAGCGAAAGCTGAAGGATCCAAAATGGTCCCCCTTGATTAGCATCTAAGGGTTTCTCACAAAAGAGGGAACAAACTCTATATACATGACCTAGAATGTATAGGGCTAAGGCTACTCTTTTCTGCAAAACCAAGGCTTTGGCAAGAGGAGCAAATTCAGGCATGATTCTTTGGGAGGAGGTGCAAAAAAGAAATTTGCAAAGCCAATATAATAAAAAGGAAAAGAATTCCCTATCAGTTACTGGACCCACTCTTTTGTTCTCGGCTCTAACAAAATCACTGTAAGATGAATTAAGAGAGGGGAGGGAGAAAGGGACTACTAAGTCAGGAAAATCTGGTGTGATGGGGGTACCAATGAGGGATACTCCTAATAGATGGAAAATATCAAGAACAGTGGGGGCCATCATCCCACATCTAAATTGAAAGAAATTGAAGACGGGGTTCCAAAAGCACAAAGCAGTAGGAACTAGGAAAGGGTCCTCCGAGATAGTTACCCTAGATAGTCGAAGAGCATCGAGGAGGCAAAGCTCTTGGAGGTCCAGTGTCTTAGCAAGAATGATCCGATCATACCATTCTTGCCATTCCGGTCTTAACGTGGGCCAGCATCGATGAGGACGATTGCTTCTCCAGTTCTTCCAGTCAAGGCCACCTTCATAAAGGAGACGTTGGTCCACCAGACGAGGATAAAAGGTTGGAAGCTCAGTAAGGACTTCCTTGAAAATTGGTCCGAGCACGTAGTTCTGCTGCTCATGATGACGAGGGACGAAGATACGCCCATCGATAGCACTTTTCTCATCACCCTTGTATTTCTCACATTCAGCATCAATAAGCCGTTTCAAAGCCACAGATGAGCTTACGCGCTCTATGGTCGGAACTTTTGATGAGGAAGAAGCCATTGATAGTGAGTTTTCGGAAAATATAGAAGGGAGTAGAGAGAAATGGAAATCCAAAGGGGATTTGAATGCGTAAGCAATTCCGGGGCACAGAGTGAAAAGGTTTTAAATAACTTTTGTGTGCGGGAATATATCTCGTAAGTCGTTAAGTACTAAAACGTGCGAAAACAAGGAATCTTTTTCAACATCGATAATTTCTGGAGGGAAAAGCACATTGATGCCAGCTTCGAAGCCAAATTTTGGCGCTAAAATTTCAAACAACAACGGCTTCGAAATGCAGAAGCCGACTTCGAAGCATACTACATGCTTAAAAATGATTGAATGCTCAAAGTATTGGTCTACTTTAAAAAGTCCAAAGACCTGTTTGAAGGTTATCAGTCAAAGTGACAACATTCGAAGCAAACCCTAGGACTCGCATTAACAGCCATGGCTGAGGTTCATGAAGGCACCTGTGGCGCTCATCAGCCTGGTGTAAAGATGAGATGGTTGCTTCGAAGGCATTCCTATTATTGGCCAACCATCCTTAAAAACTGCATAGAATACGCAAAGGGTTGCCAGGCATGCCAAAAACATGGCGCAATAAGGCATGTGCCCATAAATGATCTACATGCAGTAGTAAAGCCTTGGCCATTCA